GTCGACGTTGGCGCAGAGATCTAAGCGATCAAAATCGACCTCGAAGCCTTCGCAATCGAGTCCACAGCAGCAACGCCGGCAATGGGTCGTGTTAAGCCGAGAGGAGATGACTGCGGAGGTGGATGGTATCAGAGTCATCCTCATCGGGGACATGCATGAGCTTCCCATGTTGGACTGGAGTGTCAAGAAGTTTGATGTTGAAGTCCACGACTGGTCCAGCAGTCTCACAGCGGACACTAGGATTGACACTTTCATCAATGTCTACAACTTCTCTAAGTCAGCATGGGAGCCTCTAATCGAGCCCTGGAACTTGGGCTTCCACATGGCGAAGCAGCTCCAGCCAGAGGTCCTTTCCATGGAGCTGTATTCACACAAGAACATGGAATTGACCGTCACAACAGCGACAATAGCTCTCGCATCCAAGTCGTTCAACTTTCTGTCCACCGACGAAGACATCCTGTCCAAGCCTCGCGTAGCAGACGCACCGTATCGAATCCGCAACTATACTGGGTTCGACCTGAGCGTGTGGGCCGATGAGAAAAGTGACAGCGCAGCCGCGGCCAAGCTCACGGACGGCGAAGAATATGCGTGGCGGTTCCAAGACACCACGTCGATGCGTGAGAGCCTCTCGCCCGAAGGCAATGCTGGCCTGGTGGGTATCAAGCTCGAAGGCAGCGGGTTCGATAGCGTCACCCGCATCCCAGTCATTCGGGAGGGAGAGACTCTCTACAACTTAAAACCCAAGAAGGACGGCGTCCAGCACCGCATGCTTGTCGAGGTGGCACTTGGCACCGACAACGTCAAGTACATCACCTTCCGATCACCACTCCTGGTCGAGAACAAGACCCAGATCCCCATCGAAGTCGGCGTCTTCAGTCCAGAAGAAGGCCATCTTCTCAAGATCGAGAAGATCGCTCCGGGCGAGGCACGGCCTGCTCCGGTGGGTGCGGCGTTTGTCCATTCCCTGGTCTTGCGACCCGATCAAGGATTCGGTTACGGATGGTCGAACGAACGCTTGTTCTGGAAGGACCTCCTCAAGAGGTCGACTCGAGCAATTACTTGTGAGTCGGAAGCCAAGGACGAGTCACCGGCGTTCTTCTTTCAGATGCACGCCTCGTACGACGAAAAGGACCCCATCACCAAGGTGTACCCCTATATGCGGATCCAGATTTCAGCCCCTGTCGAGATTCAGAATCTGTTGCCGTACGACTTCAAGTACCGCATTTACGACAAGAACACCAAGAAGGATTGGACAAACTTCCTCCGCAAAGGAGGCGTGAGCCCTGTGCACGTGGTTGAGCTGTCTCATCTCCTGCTGCTGAGTGTGGATGTGGAGGACGCGCCGTTCAAGCAGAGTGACTTTGCTATCATCAACAGTAACACTCAGGAGGATTTCCGGCGAGAGAAAGTGGTGCAGCTGAAGGATGAGAGGGGTGCTCAGTTGAGACTCAAGCTGCACTACACCAACATTAGGAACAGCGGTGGAGCCTTCCGGGTGTCGGTCTTCAGTCCTTACGTCCTCTTGAACAAGACCGGTCTTGACATGAGCGTCCAGAGCAAAGCTTTCTTTGGGTCTTCGTCGAAATCCTTGTCGACACATGGCGCGCGGTCCAGCTCGGGAGAAGGCAAAGCTTTGCCCATGCTGTACTCGTATGGCACTGATGACCGCAAAAATCGCTCCCTCCTCAGGATTGGGGACTCGGCATGGAGCAAGCCGCAGAGCTTTGACGCAATTGGAAGCTCATATGAGGTTGTCTTGCCTGCCGCCTCGGGCAACGCTGAACTGCACGTTGGCGTTTCCGTGGCAGAGGGCGAAGGCAAATACAGTCTGACCAAGGTCGTGACCATTGCTCCGCGATTCGTGCTCAAGAACAAGATCGGGGAAGAGATTGAACTCCGTGAACCTGGTTCGTCGGAGGTGTGGAAGATGCAGAACAATGAGCTTCGGCCTGTCTATTTCATGCGGCAATCCCCAGAGAAGCAGCTTTGCCTCTGCTTTCCGGGCGGAAACAACCAGTGGTCGTCACCTTTCAACATGGACAACGTTGGCATGACCCACGTTAAACTCGCCAAACATGGCCAGCGGCAGAAGCTTGTCCGGGTCGAAGTCATCCTCGAAGACGCCACGTTGTTCCTGCATTTCAGCATCGAGACGAAGCACTGGCCGTTTTCCATGAGAAACGAGAGCGACACCGAGTTCTTATTCTTCCAGGCCAACCCCAATCTCGCAGAAGACGAGGAAGAGGATCGGGGAAGTGGCTGGAAGCCTATCAGATACCGGCTCCCCGCGCGAAGCATCATGCCTTATGCTTGGGACTATCCGGCGTCCAAGAACAAGGAGCTGGTTCTGACTGCCCGAGGCAAGGAACGCTATGTCAAACTCGCCGAGATAGGCAACCTGATACCCATCAAGCTGCCCCCGGATGATCGCGGTGGGCCGATGAAGGTGATTGATGTCAACATTGTCGCGGACGGGCCGACGCAGACTCTGGTGCTGTCTAACTACCAGCCATCCAAGTCCCTGTACCGACAAAAGACGGGCCAGACCGTGGCATCTCAAACCAGTCTCAATCAAGGCTTCGAGGTCAAGCAGATCGAATCCGAGGTCAACTTCAAAGCCGAGCTTCGGCTGGCCGGGTTTGGCATCTCGCTCGTCAACAGCAAGCTCAAAGAACTCATGTACATCACCTTCCGCGAGATGGAGCTCAAGTATGGCGACTCCAAGCTCTACCAGACCGTGAACTTCACGGTCAAGTGGATCCAGATCGACAACCAGCTGTACGGCGGTATTTTCCCGATCTTGCTGTACCCGAGCGTGGTGCCCAAGACCGGCAAGGAGCTGGAGGCTCACCCCATCTTCCACGCCATGGTGACTCGGGTCAAGGACGATTCTTACGGAGTCCTGTACATCAAGTACGCGACGTTGCTCTTGCAGCAAATCACGGTCGAGCTGGACGAAGACTTCATCTTCGCCATGCTGGATTTTGTGAAGGTGCCGGGGGCGTCGTGGTCCGAAGAGAAGGAGGGCAAGTTGTGCGATGAAAGCGTCGATGTCCCCGAGCCCACGCGGGAGCAACAAGGCGAGGACGTCTACTTCGAGCTGCTACACCTCCAACCCATCCAGCTCGATCTCTCGTTTGTCCGCACCGAACGAGTCAATGCGGAGGACAATTTTGTCAACAGCCCCCTCATGTTCTTTGTGAATGTTATGACCATGTCCATTGGCAACGTGAACGACGCTCCCATCCGGTTCAACGCGCTGTTGCTCGAGAACGCGAGGATTTCTGTTCCGGCATTGATGACGAACATCCAGAACCACTACACCCAAGAAGCATTGCGGCAAGTCCACATCATCCTGGGATCGGCCGACTTCCTCGGCAATCCTGTCGGCCTGTTCAACAACATCAGTTCCGGTGTGGCCGACATCTTCTACGAGCCGTACCAAGGTCTGGTCATGACGGATCGGCCGCAAGAACTCGGGATTGGAATTGCGAAAGGAGCCAGCAGCTTCGTCAAGAAGTCCGTCTTTGGCTTCAGCGACAGTATGGCCAAGTTCAGCGGCTCCATCTCCAAGGGCCTGGCCGCTGCTACGATGGACAAGGAGTTCCAGGACCAGCGTCGCATGGCGAAGAACCGGAACCGACCAAAGCATGCGCTGTATGGCGTGACTGCAGGAGGCAGTGCCTTTGCCGCGAGCATGGCCAGTGGGATCGGAGGTCTCGCCCGCCACCCCCTCGAAGGCGCGGAGAAGGAGGGCGCGCTCGGTTTCGTCAAAGGCGTCGGTAAGGGCGTCCTCGGCCTTGCGACTAAGCCCGCGATCGGGGCCTTCGACCTCGCATCCAACGTGGCCGAAGGTGTGCGCAATACTACGACGGTCTTCGACGCCGAAGGCCTGGATCGCGTCCGGCTCAGTCGTTTCATCGGGATGGACGGCATCGTGCGACCCTACTCGCAGCGTGAAGCGCTTGGGCAGTTCTGGCTCAAGACGTGCAACGACGGCCAATTCTTCAACGAAGAGTACATTGCACACCTGGAGTTGGAGGGCCGTGACATGCTGGTGATCATCACATATGACCGGATTCTGATGCTCCGGACGAAGAAGCTGCGCATGGAATGGGATGTCAAGCTGACGGACATCAAGACGATCAGCAAAGAGCGCACGGGCATGAGCATTGGGTTGAAAGGGGGAGTGAATGGTCCTTTCATCCCGGTGGCGGATGAAGGAAGCCGCAATTGGTTGTACCGACAAATTGCCATTGGTGAGTCTTCTCCTGAGTGTCGATGATCATTGTCTTGAGGTGGAGGGAGCATATGCTAACCATGATCCCATTACAGCTGTGAACGCATTTAACGACAAGTATAACGCAAAGGGATGAGACGGAGGAGATGAGAAATGAGACGAGGCATGAGATGAGACATGAGATGGTCGATGGATGAGGAATGCGTTGATCCAGCGCGTATCCTCCTCTTTGAAGCGAGCTGGTTCACCTTGCAGTGTTTCCTTCAGCACATAGCGTTCACCATGGAATGTATGAGATATGTGATAGTATGAGGTACGGGATAAACAGGCTTATTGACAGGAATGAATTAGCCAGCTAATGATATTGTACTTTGTACAAGCAACCGAGGCATCCAGACAATGCCAACGGTTTGTACTTCCCATGTCCGACCGACCAATCAGGTCATTGGTCTGGCCCGTAGCACCAAACCCAAAAGACAAGGCCGCTCCTATATTTGGCCCGGATTGACTCCCGTTCGGCAAGCCGTGCGGGCGGCTACGGGCCGGCGCGTACAACGCCCCTCATCTGCCGGGCCATGACGTTGGCGCAGTGTGCCACCCATCCTTCGAGCTGAAATGCTATCATGCCCTATAGATGCTCATGATCACGGCTGTGCTTCGTCCCATCCCCATCGAACTGCGAAGGATCAGTCACGACCACCGTCGTTTCCAACACGTTTCCGCCGCCTCGAGCAGCACACACCTCCCCTGCGTCCGAGGCATGGCGACACACCCAGTATTCTCGGTCTCGCACAAGGGGCTCCCCGCTTTCCATGAAGCTATCTACGTGGAGACGCATGAAGAAGGAGGCTACCTATACCACGTCGTCGGCGACAATCTCTCGGGCTACCGGTACGAAACCAAGGCGACCAATCGGCCGGAGAAATCCAAAACCTTCTCGAAGAAGTATTACAAGGGCACGGTGTCGCGGGACGATCTCGCCACGCTGGAGGCGATCTGCCGACAGGTCCCGCCGCCGTGTCACGAACTCATTGGCGGCGTCATCTTTGAGCGCGACTGTCGACATTGGGTCTTTTCGGCGTTCGAAGTGCTGGAGAGGGAAAAGGTGCTGAAGCCGAAGCCCAAGAAGGGTGCCGGTGCGCAAAAGCCAGATATCTCCCAAATTGTGGATTGCGGATGATTGTGAGGACAACCCACGACTGATGGCCATGGGGCCCACAGAGGCAGAAGGAAGAAACGCTGAAGGAAAACTCGGTCACACAAAATGTCGGTCTGGAAGTTTGGTCTGAGAGGATTTGGGAATGCGACACATACAAAATGTCAGAACTCTGGTCAGGGAGGACTTGGGAATGTGAACATGGATGACGGATCACGACACATCGTATATAATTACTACTACTCGGACAGTCGTTCACAGCTAGTTAGGACTCGGAAAATGGGCGTACTCAATCTCTTCGCTCAAGCGCTCAACTCATTACATACTCCGCTCGTGCCTGATTTCACGCTGCGAAACACTGATCTGGAGTAATCCTTGATCCTGTGAGAAAGTCCTGGCCACTGCCATGTTCGCATAGGCGATTCATCTCTCGGTGCTCTAGCGCATCACCTTGGCTGAAGCGCTCACGTGTTCGATACTCCTCCGCTCGAGCCTGCTTCCAACGTGCGAACACTCATCTGGAGCAAGTCCTTCATCTTGCGAGAGAGTGCGACCACCTGTCATGCCAGCAATTCACTGACACAGCAAGCTCCCCCAGGTGTTCTAACACCGTCTCCTTCGCTGAAGCGCTCACCTCATTCAATACTCGCTCAAGCCTGATTCCAACGTGCGAACACTCCTCTGGAACCACGCCGTCACCTTGTGGGGGAGTCCTGACTATGTGCCGTCCCGCACGGGCTGCTCATAACACCCAAGCTCCTCCCAATGCTCCGCTCCTGCCTGATTCCAATGTGCGAACAATCATCTGGAGCAACCCCCTCGTCTTGTGAGAGAGCGCGACCACGTGCCGTGGCCGCACGGGCTTATCATGATACTGCAGGCTCCTCCCAGTGCACTAACGCCACAGGACCAGACCATCCCTCATTTGCATCCGGTGAGGTGTTTCTCGAACAAGGTCACCACAGGGAGGAAATCATTTCTATCACCATAATTCATTCTGTAGCATGTGTAGCCAGGCATACTCATTCCGATAAGGGTCTAGAAACCTATCGACGTAATGGTGCCAGTTGTCCTCGAACAATCCGCAGGCCACGATGGCCTGGGCGTACTCCCAGTAGCTGGGATACCAACCGGCAATCTCCCAATCCAGGATCGTGATGGTCACGTCCCCTTTCCCCTGAGGACCGGTTCTCACCATGATGTTCTTCCGCTGCAGGTCGCCGTGCGTCAAGACCGGCGGGTGCGTGCAGAACACGTCATGCAGCGCGTTCTGGTAGAACATGGCTTTGCCCCTCATCGCCTCGGACGCCTTGCATTTCCTGATGATTGCGTCATTGAGATCCGACTCGGTCTTGAACGGGCCCTCGTAGTGATACTTCAGCGACCCTTCCCCCGTGTACGTCAAGAACAGAGAATCTCGCAGCGGCTTCTGGTTCAGACTGCTATATCCGTTCATCGGCTTGACCGAGCGCATTCGCCGCAGGCATTCCTTGAGCTGGGTCGCCACCAGGTTCTTCTCCGCACTCGTGAGCGTTGTCCATCTCTCCTCCATCGTCTGCCCGTGGATCCGCTCCATGATGATAAAGTTCTTGCCCTCGTCATGGTAGAGGGCGTACACGGCGGGGACGGGGACTTGGGCGCGTTGCTTGACAAAGATCATGGTCTGCCCTTCTTCCAGGTCAATTCCCCTGCCGTACTTGGCAACAAAGTGTGGGCCCAGAGCGACGACCTTGGCGGCCGTGCGTTCGGTCAGTATCTCCCGCGCGGATTCGATCTCGGCCGTGCTCGGCAACTTTGCGGGTAAGACGGTCGTGGGTGCAAAGTATGGCATGGAGATCGGGAAGTCCAGATCACGCATCCTTTCCTTTCCTTTCCTGCTCGGGTGGTTTTCTCGTCAAAGAACTGTCAAAGGAAGGTCCAATAACCCTCAGGAGATGTAGCTTTGGCGGCTTGCTTTGCTGCAGAAGACTTTCGACCTTGGTCAGTTTCTGTGCCCCAACTCACGTAGAGAAAAAAAGGAAGAAAAAAGCAAAGAATGGCAGGGAGACATGGCACAGGGAGGGAAAAAGAGGAAACGACAGTTGTTAGATGGACCCCTTGGCCAGTGCCCCCAAGCTGTCAGAATGTCGGAATGCCAGAATGACAAGTGGGTGTGTGAGGAATTAGATTCAGATCCTTGATCTTGAAAAGAGGCTACGAAGGGGGGGCCGATATGTACGTACCCCCGATCGGTCACGTGATAGTGACGGCATCCGGAGCAGGGCACGTGACGTGGGGGTCAATGCTCCAACCACCAACAAGCGAATCGTCCGCGCGCGTGGCCAAGTCGGATTTGGTTTCCTCCGCGACAAGACTCGACGGGGTTACTCTGGTAGGCGACTCTGTCACACATCCGGACTTTCTTGCTCGTCTATAAGCGATACTCTGCGTGTGACTAGGCGACTCTCCGCGCCTGTTACTGGCCGCTGAACAATGACACCACGATGGCCCCAATAGAGACCGGCAACTCGTAGACACGGCGGTCAAGACAACAGCGGGACGATTGTCGATCTCCTGAACCCAAATCACAGACTAACCAAGGACGAGCTCCAATAATCTGTGGAACCGAACTTTTACGCGATCCAGGGACTCGATTGCCGAAATGGGTGAGCTACCAACGATCGATTTGACAGGCGGCAGAGACTTGAGAGAGATCACTGGATCGATCACCAAACTTTCGAAGTGTCAAATGTGGATCTGTCCTCAAAACTACGGCCACCAGAGCACTGGATGAAACCTTACGGTGGCCTTTGCGATCTGCCATTTGTCCTGGCATCGTCTTGCCATGGCTTTACGGCAGGATGTGATTGGCTTCCCCAGCGCTGGGTTGGACGGACATATCCCGACCGTCCTTCCACTGGGCCGCTCTGCCATGCCAAGTAGCCCGTCGCGTGCAGAGGATCCTCTGTTGGGGAACCCTAGTACGCAGGAGGTCTCTGATCGGCGACTTGAGCATGAGCACCCGGTAGGTCCAGTGACAATTGCTTTTGGCGCTCACCCCCACATCACGATGGATCACACAAGACAGACGGAGCAGCGGCAGACACTTCCGAATCATGGGTTTCTAGCCACTCAGAAACTCACGCTTCTCAAGCAAAGTACGAAGGTGGATCGCCCCAGCGATCCGCCTCGTTCGAGGCGAGGGAGGCCGAAGACCAAAGGTCAAGATATTCTCGGTGCGAGATCTCTCACCGCCTCCACCCACGCACCACTCCTGTTCTCCGTCTTCCGCCAAGAGTTCTACTTTCACATTGACAGGTGTCTTGCATCAATGGCCGCCGGTCACCATTCTCGCACCCTTCGAGGCGGGCCATGAGGAGGGAAGGGACCTTCTTTCAATTCTTCACGAGCCTGGACATGGTCTGCTCGGAGTGCAAAGACTGGGACCCTTCCGGCGGTTCAGATCTGTAGGCGCTGCTGACGCGGAATGTATATACCTCTTCGTGCTTGAGAGACTTTCGTTTCAAAGCCATCGCGCTCTTCCATCTCGACACAGAAGTCTTCTGCCCTCACTCAGTGGCTTGCTCACGAAAAGACGGGGACGAGCTCTGCAAGCAAGGAGCACAAGCATGATACGCTTCATCGTATCGTCCTGTACAATCCTCTTCGCTCACTGCTGCACCTCTCCCGCCTTGTTCATTTCCTTGTTCCCCCTTTTCTCGGTAGGTGTGGATCAGCATCCAGGGTTCTGACCAGCTCTATCTTTGGAAACTTCTCGGAAACGCAGTCTGCCATCTGCTGGGATCACCGTCTCTGAACAATGCGCATTCATCAGACGAGAAGAAATGTAAGGACCTCAGAGGGAAGAATCCGATTGGCGAGGAGGGCAGGCGATGTACGATGCTGGACCCTGAGACGTCTGTCAATAACGCTCGTTGGTTTTGTAACTGCATTCGGAGAGAAATGTGGGGGCAAGTTGGAAACGAACGGGTCGGTCAGAAGTGGGTAAGTGGGTAACATGATCGTCCGCGTGGCCTGCGACAGGAAATGGTGGAGTGCTTCCCACAGGCTCCAGTCTGCGTGCATGGTCAGGACCCGTCGCAGGATCTCGGATCTCGCCGGGCTCGTGTCCAGGTAAGCTCGCTCAAGGGTCATCAGGCAGAGCGAACAGCACCACCCTCCCTGTTTCTGAAGGACACCCTTCTCTTTCCATCGTACGGGGACATCCTTCTCTTACATGCGTATGAGGACCACCTTCTCTTGCATATATTGAGCACACCTTCACCGTCAAAAGATCTCTTGGGTATTCTTCCTACGGTAGGGTCGATCAGGGGTCGTCAGGAAGGGTGGACGACATATGATCATTTGGAGATGATGGCCCTGTCCAATCAGTTCAGACGTCAGATGTCGACTCTCTAAGCTGCTCACAGTCAGGAAGGATACCCTCGACACCTTCGACACCATACTCGCCTCTGTGCCCACCCAGCGAAGAAGGCAGGACAGACACTTCTGCAGCTTGCCCATTCCCACTTAGGGCGAGCTGCTTTGTTGACAGCGCTGTCTCGGGATAGCAGAATGAATGGGTGGCAGACGCTGGTCCAACGCAAGGACTTAGTGGCGGACGGTGATGGTGTTCTGTTCCCAGGGCAGGGACATAAGCTGAAGACGGTGGATGGGTGTACTCACGCCTAGCGTCTGTCTTGACCTTCTGAGCAGGCGTCCAAGACCGATGACGACATTTGCTCACTACAAAAGTTGCCTGCTGTCTGTGGCGTTGAGGCTGTGGCTGTGGCTGTTCACCTACCGACAACCCCCCTCTGTAACCCTGGCCGGCATCACAGCCAGGAAGGTCAGCCGGTGGATGGATCGCACGTTCTCGGATACAGCCTGCGCTGCGCACAAAATCTAGTTGGTCAATCCACTTTCGAGCTTCGTGCCATACTCCATACAGCTGGTTCGTACAACTTGTTCATTGTGGGGATTGAGCCCGACAATCATTCCCATTGTGTCCACATCCTGCCTGATGCCTCTTCCTGCCTGACAGACCGTCCTGTCGCTTGCCAGTCCAGGTCGTTCCTGACTGGAGGCCGACAGGAAAGCAGTAGCCGTGCTGCCCTGACCATCTCTCAGCCATGTTTCAAACCTTCTCTCACTCGTCTGCTCTCATACCATCTCCCACGTCGTCTCCTCACTCATCTCCTCTCACCTCGTCTGCTCCCACATGTCTTGTCACGGCATCTCCTCCCACATTTCCTCTCATCCCTCTGCTCACCGTCCTCCAACCCATCTGCAGAACCCCTGCCTCAACAGAACGTCGAGGACCGGACATCACTGTGCTGCTGGACCCCCTATGCAGTGGGCTATGCTCACATACAATGGCGCTGGGTGGTAAGTTCTCCAACCCGAGTGATGAGTCTGTTGATGCTGACGTCCTCAGCTTATGGTTCCTTCCAAGCCGTGCGACCCTCACTTGGTCATGACCTGGGAGCACAGCACCGTCTAGCTCTCACCCCGGGGCACAGCACTCTATAGCTCCCGCACTCTGGGGGGCAGGCCTCGGCCGTGAGCAGACGCGGCCTTCCTTGCCCAAAGTGAGCAAAACACTTTTGGAGTCGCCAAGATGAACGGCGACATGGAGAAGAAGAGAGACGTCAAGAATCACCTGCTCTGAGGTTGCAACTGAGGTTGCAAATCGAGCTGTGCTGGTGGGTTGCTGGGAGACATCGACAACCCCTTCCTCTTCGGAGTTGCAACTGAGGTTGCGAACCGGGTCGTGCCCGGGTTTCTAGCCTGGGAGACAACAACAACTACCTCCTCTTGGAGGAGCAACTGAGGTGGAAGTTGCGGCCGACGTCCTGGCACGGTACAGGGTGCCAGTGGTCAATGCTGACTGTCGATGGGAATACCGTTGTGTAAGGCCCTCAACCTGATGGAATGCACATACTAATGTCCTCAAGTGTCAAGCAGAGGTCCAGAGCTTCTGGGGATCGCCCAACAGACCGGGAGTCCGAGCACTTTATGCTGGACTGTTGGACCTCTTGGCTTATATGCTTGTTATGAACCCGGGCGGCACTCGGTTCATGACATGAAGACGGCGGCGGGTATTTAATCCAAAGACGGGGTGTGCGGGGGAGAGCTGTGCAGGAGGCGTGTAAACTGTTCGGGACTGGTTGAACCAGCCGATATTACACTCCTCCAGCCCAGCTCTCTCCTGCAGGCTCCAAACACAAGGTGCTGGTGGTCGATGGTCAATGGCAACCCTTAAAAGGGATCCCGCCTGTAAGTCCAAACAACCTGGACGATGACTGCGCCGGTGCTAATGTCCCCAGAACGGTGAGGGTCCCTCTAATCCACGGAGCTTGCAGGAGAGAGCTGTGCCGGAGTGTGTATTCTGTTCGGTGTCTGGTCGAAGCCGCCGAATGTACACTCCTCCAGCCCAGGTCTCTCCTGCAAGCTCGAGAACCCCAGTCCCACTCCGAGCAGGGCTTGTATCTGATGAGCCCTGCCCGGAGTCCGGGTATTGACCATCCCTGTTGTTGTGGGTGGTGCCGGCCAGGATGGTGCCGGCTCAGGTGTGTGGGTTGTACTGTTGTGCACACCGTGACATGATTTCGGTTCCTGCGGAACTTGGAGTGGGTCGTTCTCATCCAGTTCAGTCCAGTTGCTAACCCTTGTCCAGCCCACCGGCGCCGAAAAAGCCATAAGATGTTCGGTGCCGCCGGTGCCAATGGCTACGAGAAGAAGCTCAGGCGGCGCGGCCTGGTTACAGCTCGCTCGGTATCCGCCTGGTGTTGGTGTGCCTCCTCAACGCCATCTCCACGGCCATACCAACGAGTCTCGCAAGCAGGAGCATTAGCGGGTGTGTAGCTCTTGTTCACGGAGAACGATACCAACCCAGACAAGCTCCCCGAAGTCCGAGACGGGCAACTGGATGACAGGGGTGCTCTACTCACTTCAACCTCGACGACCTTGGCTCTGAACGGCATCAGACTGTGTGGTCGAATGACAGGTCACTTGGTCGATAGTGCAGAGACATCCAGGCTGCGAGGAGGAAGAGCCGAACAGTTGCTGTCCTTGCCGCCGATTATTTCCTAAAACGTATTGAGTCACGATCAGCAGCCAGCAAGCCGTGGCAGTGAGGGTTTCCAAATCAGATCAGGCCAGGATTGGATCAGATCATTTGCAGTATCAGTCCGAAACGAAAGGAATGTGTGGGGTGTTGGAACAAGACAGAGAAAGAGAAATATCGGAAAGGACGGTGGCGGATTAAGATCAAGGTCATGAAGATGATGAAGAGGAAGAAGACGATGATGTTGATGTTGACGTTGACCGTTGCGCATCCGGACGCTAGTGCAACAACATGCAGACCGCATATCACACACCGATCGAGGATGAGGATGAAGATGAAAGTGCAGATCATGAAGAGCAAGATGATGGAGAGAGAGGAGACGATGTTGTTGTTGGTGACCGTTGCGCATCGGGACGCTAGTGCAACAACGTGCAGACCAACAGACCACACAACACATCACACATCACGGCTACGGCCACAGCCACGGCCACTGCAACGGCAACAGCAACAGCACACGGTCCCTGACTGCTTCCTCTTGTCCATTTCCATCTCAGCTTCACCTCGACTCCATCTCAGCTAGATCCGAGATGTTGCAGCATTTGTTTCAAGTCTTTCAGCCCATCTTCCTCGGCGAGCCGCATCAGCGTCCGGTATGTTTCATCCTCCGCATCGTCGCTCATGCTCTCTTTGCCCTGGTACAGATTGTGCAGCTTTTGTCTTCCGCTTTGCAACTCGGCTCGATGGGCGGCCTGCCGATAAAGTCAGCGTTATGAACGTGGGATACTACGGGTGTGCCCATACCTTAGCCAGGTCATCGCTGGTCCTCTCAAACACCTCGCAGATGGAACACTCGCACGACATTGACGTCACGGCCAGTGCCCAATGGTTCTCGGTGGTATTCGATGCCTCGCGGCGTGTCAATGTCCGGGGAGAGCGAATGGCGAAAGCGACTGGGATCGAGGCAGATAGACAACGCATTCACATTCCACGCGAGTTGAAATAAGCCAGATCTTGTCCGATCGACGTATTGAACCCCTCGTTTCAATCTGGCTGACCAACCCACATGCAGGCGCATGTGTCACACGGTTACACAGAGCTGAAGCCAAGACCATGGAAGCGTCCAAGCACGATCCGGCATCAAGTGGCGACCCATCCCCTGCCACGCCTTCTCTGCACCTCGACACGATCGTAGCAGGAGCATTACGCAGTACTTTGATGGTATCTGATCAAAGCGATATTGGCGGGTTTCCACCTCGACGCCGTGATCATCAGCCACCAAAACGTGTCCTAGATTGCTGCAGTCAGGCACAGCTTCTGCGCCACGTCTATGTAATCGGGCACATCTTCCCCGTTCCTCGACCTTGCCGCAGCTTTGACTTAACGGAGCCGCGGGCAGCACGATACCTCTGAAGACAGACTGTTCTGGAGATGTCATCTATTCGTCGAGCGATACAAGACGAGCTGGGCACGGCACGAATACGTGGATGCCCCGGCCATTGACTTCTGCTGATAGCATTTCGGGCGTAGACATCCTCGGACGAAGCATTTTGAAAGGGCCTTAGAACGATATCAAACTTTATATCCGCTGCTGACGACTGACGACCGACGATCATGTCCACGTATTGAACCCGATATTGCCAGTCTTTGAAAAGTGCATCCTTGCCGATCGTTCCCGCGCATCGTTTGAGCTCTTATGGCGTCAGTGACCTCAGAAGTTCCGACCTGAGTGCCAAACGAAACTACCCGAGACACTTTGCGTCGTAGACTTCCAGCGACAAACCCTCGAAGTTATCGAGCGTCCTCTTCAATCTTGTGGTCAACAGCTCCTTCGCTGCCGTCAAAGGGCAAAGGTCGTCCAATCCGCACGGGGTGCGCATGTCAATCGCGCCATACATGGTTCCCAAGAAACTCCGGCAGCTTTGAATATTTAGCCGACTCAAAGGCCAGTAACCTTGTGACTGGAGCCACTCCATGAAGAGTGACAAGCGTAGCTCCTTCGTACAGGAGTAGTCGTGAAACTCGCTCGACCCGCAGTTGCCACATTTCTTCGTGGCCCAGGGCTTGTTGCGAAAGCACTGGCGGCAAACTTTGTCGCGTTTGCCCGTGTGCCTTTCATGATTCTCGCCCACCCCATCAATGGCAGTCTCAATCCGCTCTTGGACCCTGTTCTTGATTCGAACGCAAAGCTCTCTCATGTCGTCTAGGAAGAACATTGTTATGATCGGGGAGAAAAAGAACATCTCGGTTTGCAGGCGTACCTTTCAATCGGGCGGGCATAGGATGCACTTCCCAAGCCCTCCATTCGTCCGTTGTCAAGACCTCTGCCAATCGGACGCTGACACGCTGAAACAGATCTCTCAAATGAAAGACGTACGCTGCCCACAGGAAGGTTTGGAGTTGTTCAGTGGAAAGATTCGACAAGTTCCACGCTTCCACCCAAGCCCGGACATGAAAAGACAGAGGCCAGCGACAGCCGTAGAAATCGCACAAGTCCGCCAAGACGCGGTAGTCCTCTATGGAGGCCGGTGGACGAACTGGACGATAGTGGAGAACGCGACAGATCAGCGAGAAGATATCCGGATGATCGTCACGCAGGTTCTTGACAGGCGGCTTGTCTGCATTCGGCCGCTCGACACCCTCGTAGAAAGCGTTGGACCGGAGCATGGTCTTGAAGAAAGGACACGACAACTCCAGGACTTTCGACGAGACCAAGAGGCGACGTGGCCCAACCACGAGCACCAGGTCGCCCCTCGGATCGAGCTCTTCTGTTGGACCTTCTAAAGGTTCATCCGCAGGCAGGCTGCGTGACACGTCTTCTATGTCGGCATAATCTTGTGGGACACTCTCCATGTTGACGGTTGAAGATACGACGGGACTTGGCGACTCGAGATACGAGACCAGCAATGACACAGTTGGTGCCGGGCCCGATGGACGGAGCACGACGGAGGCAAAGTCTCTTGAGAGGCGTGCAAGGGATCAGGGGATGAGCCCTTCGCTGGACCTTCCTAACGCGGGAGAAGAATGTTGCTAGAGATAGTACGAGATGCTAACCAATCAGCCACTTCTCATAGCCACTCGTCCTCATAGCCACTTCTCCTCATAGCCACTTCTCCTCATAGCCACTTCTCCTCACTAACCATTCATCCTCATAGCCACTTCTCCTCACTAACCATTCATCCTCATCAACCACTCGTCTTCAGCAACCACTCGTCTTCATCACCACTCGTCTTCATCACTACTCGTCCTCATTAATCATTTATTCTCATCAGCTATTTTGTCCCCGTCAACCACTCATCCTCATCAACCACTCATCCTCATTAAACGTATATTGGAGAGTACTGTGAGACCTTATATAGCATCCTAGGCGCGTCCTATCTAGCTTACGTACCGCGGCCTCTTTGCCCGTGGTAGGGCCTAAACGGGAACGAACGTACTATCACAGAGGCGCTGACACGTAGAGTCCACGCGCGGTACGGAACCGAGGATAGACGTATTATGTGTAGACGATGTGAGCTCCCTGTCATCATCGCCTTGATCACGTTCTATAACTCAAAGCTCATTGATAGTATCTTCTGCTGACCGAGTGATAATCAGCTGTGTAGCGAACAAATACTAAGCGTTGATCTCTGATTCTCTAAACTCGTACAATGAGTTCTCTGAGCCCTGTATGTCTTCGGTCTACGGCCCGCAGACCCAACATCTCGCCTTGGACAGCGAGTGTCCTTCTCCCCCCAGCCTTGGGTGGCATCATGATCTCAGTTGACCTTCCCGACAATAAACTGGCTGCCTGACGTCTGGTGCTGAGATGCATTCTCTTCTCTGCTGCTTTAATTCCAGGTCAAATACCCCTAGACCTCCAGTTCATACCCTAATCTCTTGAGCACCTCTCGCACCTGAGGACTGCAACACCTTCAATGTTCGGATACCCACATTGGAAGCCGATCGTGTGCACGACAGCTCCCTGGCCCACCGCGAGGAGATATTTCCTCAGCTGCTTCTTCTCCTTTCGGGCCACGAACGGATTGTCCGGGAATCCGAAATAGTCCTTGAATTCCACCCAGTTGCACTGCTGTCCACAAATGACGACCGGAGAGGTGAAGCCCATGTCAGGAGTTTGAGGAGTGGGGTGTCCCAAGAGTTGAGCCCGCATCCGCTGCTCTGATTCCCGGGTGAAGAGGTATCCTTTAGAGGCAAAGCGTTCGACGAAGGTGTCTTCCGCCAGCAGTGCTTGTTGCGATCTCATTCTTCGCAGCTCTAGGCGTCGTTGAGCCTCCTCCACACTCTCTTGCAAGGACTTGACACGCTCGGCTGCGCTCATGAGTGCGGCGACAACGGAGGGTTCGAGAGTCGTCTTCGATGTGCGAATAATGTCTCGGACGCGTGGGCGACGGTGTCTCATCCGGAGAGCGACTCTGAAGACCGGTCTCACCAAAGACGGAGAAATGCCCAGTTACTCTGTGGCTGCAGCTTGCTCGTCCCCAGCAGGTCCCATCGATACTCGAAGTGAGCCGTCATGTGGCTCGACGGTGCTAGCGAGTGCTCGCGTGTACCGGGGAGACGACATTTTGCGATGCTGTTCCAGCGCCTTGACGCTTTGAATTGGTCGTTGACATGATTTGCAATACGGCACATTGAGCATTTCAGCGCGAGGCATCGCACACTGCGCGGACGTCATGGTTGGAAGGTGGGGGTGGGGTTGGTGAGCGTGCCGGCCCGCCGGCGTCATCTCAGATTGGCGAATAAGGTGTCCGTTGACGCGGGACCGGGACATGTGGACCGGCACTCTATACATGACTAAGAGTTCGAGACCAGTCTACTCGTACTCGTATTATTGAGTTCATCATACGAGTATGCGACTCTAAAGGTAAGTCATGCATGACATGCGGGGTACGGGTATGAGTGGGTGACGGGACCTTGAAAAGTTACCCCGCTGAAGCGGGGCGTGTGGGTGTCTAGAGCGGAGGTCTTGCTTCAGCAAGTCGCCGACAAAAAACAGCCGACTTGCTGTGTAGGCTTCAAGCCTATGACGAGAGCAAGGTCTACAATCAGAAACGTGGTCCTTCTTGCTGACAATGCAATGTACATTAGATCGACCCCGAATCCGTACATGAGGGATACAGAGATTCAACATCCCTAATATATCCAGGGCTATATATTAGTCGCTTACCTCTCCGCGAAGGTTCTAGTCAGAATCAAGGGTAATTGTTTCTAGGAATTCAATGGTTAATGCTAAGTGATTAATGTAGGCGAATATTGTCGATGAATAGTTGATGAGGATGGGTGGCTGGTGAGAAGAAGTGGTCAGTGAGGATAAGTGGTTACTGAGGAGAAGTGGTAATTGAGGAGAAGTGGTTAGTGAGCAGAAGTGGCAAGTGAGGACAAATGGCTAGTGAGGATGAGTGGCGCGCGAGGATGAGTGGTGATGATCCCGAGAGCCTCGTGGCCCTTGCTGTTATTCATGCCTTGCTGTTATTCATGCATCAGTAACTGCCTGGAATCTTGTTTCCACACCCATCCGATGCTGGCCTCGACCTTTGCCCGTCCCGACCATGGCGACTCTTGTTCCAAATCGAAGCGGCAATCAAGCTGTGTTCTGCATGTTCGAGCATAATACCTGAACTTTGACGCACACTTTTTCTCTTCATTGGCAGCAGGGCATTGCAGGAGCAACATCCAGAACCTGCTACCAGGGCTGAGGTTACGAGCAAGCACAAAGGCTCTGCAGGGCACCGACACAAGTAGCTCGGCATTGATTGAAGAACTATCCCCCAGTGGTGTCAACTGAGGGTAGGTTGAGCAGCTCCCTTACCCCTAGAGCCTTCTTCTCTGAAATGTTGCCACCGATCCTCAGATTCGGCACGATCAGGATGATCACGGTCATGCATTCGTCGACGGATTTCCACGAAATCTCTCATCATCTCCAACGCTGCAGGATGCTGGCCGGCATTCAGTGCGCGATAGCAAGATTGTATTACAACCGAGACGACCGGGACCAACCCCCGCCAACGCCCGCCCTTCGCTCCGCACTACCTCCTCGATGCGGCCCTGTTCTTTGTATCCGGCCAAGTCGACATCCTCGAGTCCATGTTCGACGCTCACACAGAAGTAGCGATTCTGGTCTCATCCATGAGATCAAAAATTCGCACGGCTTGAATGCCCGAGCACCGCTCTTCTGGCACTTGTGACGCAGTTGGTTCGTGAAGCTCTAAGGGATATGGATGGTCGAGAGACTTCGCACCCCACCGGTAGTGAGCGACAGTAGACGAGGCCGGTGTCGTCGACCGTAATACGCGGGCCATTCATTGCTCTCTCGGCGGAGACTGCTTGTGCTATGCTTCAGAGGTTTATGAAGGTAGTCCAACGGAAAGATGAAGTCAGGACGGAAGGTCGATGGTCACAGCCCGGGTGATTTTAATAGCAACCTCGAAGGCGTCACCGAAAGGCTCGAAGGAGGCATTGCGAAGGGCGTCCGATCAAGCCGAAGCTGTATCTTTCAACAGCGCACCTGGTCTGTATGGGGCCGTGAGCGCTTACACGGCGAGTCGTAGGCAGAAAGGCAGCGCGCATGTGTGGCGTAGAGACGAGCCCCCACTCCCATGGTTGCTATCGGCGGTCTTCGTTTCCGCGACTCGGTGTTTGTTGGAATCCCAGGCAGGTAGTCCCGCGCGCGATGGCAAGGACTTAGTTCCGAAGAGCCTTGCTCGCCCGGGTGAGTCATTTATCCAGGCGCAGGAAGAATCAGCTGCGCTTGAGAACCTTGGTAAGAGTGGCGCTATCCTTGGCTTTAGTACTCATAGAGTCTAATGCCTTGACAATCTCGCTCATGGAATTGAAAGTGCCGTGCCAGCACTTGCGTCAATTGGCCCAATGATAGATTTATGACATCCGGGAATTGATTTTCTTGATATAGTTGTTGGACGAGGTGTGACCGATTATCAAATGCTTTGAATTCGTGGTATGGGTGTCTGCCCGTCAGGGTTTTACAGATCACGCACCCGAACGCGAAGATATCGGTCTGCTTGCTGACTTCCGGTGTTGATCGTCGATAACTATACCATTGATAACAGGAGCCATGCTCTCCGCCGTCAGAACCGGCACCTCCAAAATCAATCAGTTTCAGGCAATCGGATCCCATCCAACCCGTCAGGCCATTAGTTCTGGTCAATATCATATTGTGACATCCAACGTCAGCTTGGAAAAATGCCCTTTTTATGCGCGTATCCTATGCGCTCTGCAGCTTGTCTCAACCAGCGAAGTTCCTGTACACTGAGACCCTGTCCGCCCTCGAGTTTTGATATTTCTCGCGAAGGGGCTGACCCCGTTCCAAAGTGATGGATCCGTCTTTCAGACTTTCCAGGTAGCTTGCAATATACGGATGGAGCCGAGACGTGTATATGCTCGGCGCTCAGACATCACTCTCCTCGCTCTCAAAGTATTGTTTTACAACTCTTTCTCATCAATGCCGTAGACGAGGCCTGATCCGCCGGCTGCGAGGTATTGTCGCCCTTCATACGAAGAGAACATCGAGGATCTGCGCTGTTCTGAATATAAAGCATCTCGGTGCTTGTGGTCGAAGCACATCGCGTCGCGTAAGGGAGCCGCGGAAGCTAAGGAAGCGAGAAAACACCTTTTGCTGGGTGCGCTGAACAGTCACCTTGATTTCACGTGATCTGAGTTTACGTAGCCCCCGCAGGCAGTGAGGGGCACCAGTCCCCAACCCCACCAAGTGAGACACGAGTGATCGGTCGCCCCGCCAGACCCCGCTTACCCTGACTCACCCGAGGCGGGGTGAGTATTCATTGGGCGGAATAGTCTTGTCCTAAAGTGGGGGAGCTTCATGTCGAATGACCTCGTCTTGGTGCCCCTGCATTCATGCTTGCAACTTCCTCTCATCTTTCCCTCAATTGACCTGTCGACACACGTTCGTTTCAGGATGGATTTGCCCAAAACTCGGCCACTATCGACTCCATCCTCCAACTTGAGCGAATTTCATGGCAACCTCAATCCGAGGGCCCGCGGACAGCAGCGACGTGATGCAAGGACGACCGTGGTACAGAAAGCCGACGGTGGTCCAGCATACGAAGAGTACTTCAATAGACACTGAAATCACTCGCTAGGGACACGAATCGTACCAAAGTGCCTACCGAAGACGATGCCGCATTCCTTACCAGACTTCGAGAGGTTGCTGAGCTCGAACTCAAAGGTCCTGCCGATCAGGCCCTAACGGCCCTCATACCGCAGCTCAAGAGCGCGTACCGCAAGAGAAGTGTCAAAAAGACATCCAAGGCTGACGCTGCATAGCAGAATCTCAAATCGGCAGCGGTTGTTGATATGGGGTTATCGCCTCTTCCAGAGCGAGCCTGCGAGTCCAACGTCCTTCTCTCATCGAACGTGCAAAGCCTGACACGCCGCGTCTTGCTGGCTAAGAAGCAACGTATCGTCTTGTGTCAGAGCCGTGGGCACAGGCATCAGAATGACGACGGAAGAACAAGCGCAGACCAGTCGCGGAAGACCGGGGTCCTTGTTGCTTGTCCTACACTTCATATCAGCGCTTTGGTAACTCGTCTCAGGTAAGTGCATTAGTACCAAGGTGCCTTGTCCCGTCGTGACAGGCAATATGCAATATGCAGCCAGAACGCATGAGCCACGCGCCATGACTTGAGAGTTAGTCGGCAGGAATACGCACTTCCAGGAATGAGCTCTTCGACGGCAAGCTTCAAATGGCATAAGTTATTCATGGGTCGGCCAGAGACTAACCGTCTTCCCTTTGGCATGTGAAACAGATGCTGTACACGACGTGGTAAGTTGTCAGATGGTGGGCAAATATGCATGGGATTTTGTCCAAGATGCAGCTCAGAACTGTAAGATACCCATACCCTGCGATGATGCACGGATATCATAAGACACAGAACGTGGTATCTGTCGCCTCGCCCTCTGCTCAGCCCTCGAGGCCGAACCGTCCTGAATCACCCCAAGTTTCACTCCACACCACTTTTGGAGCCGAACACTATTATCGGCCGCGTGGCGTGGTGTCTCTACGGTGGGTATATTTGCATCTGAACATGGGAGAGCATTGCGAAGTTCGCGGTCCAACTTGATACCTCCTTGATCAGGCAGCCCTGGTCCCGATTGACTTCCCTATCCAACAGGGCGAAACGGCCGAAGAGGCGTCTATCAGGAGCCTCGGTAGATCCGGGATAGGTGTAGTGGTAGAGGTAAGTCAGGAAGGCGAAGAAGTCTCTCTGAGTATAGACAGGTCGACTCGGCTTTCAGAATGGCCACAGATCTTGGGAGAAGCGTCGCTTTCAAACCGCACGTTGAGCCTGGCTTCTCAACATGGTTTCTTTACGACGGCGCCTTGTGGACTGATGGAACTCCGGTAAAAAGAATTCACCGATCCGGAAACACTTTTTACTGAATTTGGCGTCCGATGTGGACCAGACCATATCACAACGGCTCACGAGATCGCTCCGTGTTCATTGTCCTCCCTTTGGAGCCCCCAATCGAGGCAGGTACTTGAGCACGGCTCCACAGGAGCACCTTGTTTCTCTGAGAGGATGCCAGGACATATCGCTCAAGCTTATCCCATGTCCATGTATCGGCATACTCCCGCGATATGACGACTGCCACGAAGAAGCTCTGGGACCGGGGTCGGCCCGGCATGAATCTCTCGGAACATCATCGCAGGGAGACTTGAATCTACGAGACTCTCCTGGAGAGAAAATCAAATGCACATCTCTGATTCAAGGGATCGGCTTCAACCAAGCGACTTTGCATGTATTTCCCCCAGCATAGCCTTCTTCTGTGGTGGGTTGGGACGAAAGCGAACATGCTCCATTAGGTCGGGCCTGGATAACTCATAGCCCGATTAGATATGTGTAAAGATGAAATGCTCCCTCGAGGCAAGTGCTATTGTTCCACCACTCGTTACACTCCCCAGACCCTTGATGGGAAGTTCCCCCCCATTCGCCCTTCAATCTTGAACATCCTTGTGTGGTCACCCTTCGGCTGAGATGCAAGTTCTCCCCATTGATGGCTGAACCAGGTCCGTGGTCTCCTGAATTGGCTTGTGAAGGTCGGCTTGGGTTCGTGATCACCCGTGGCTTGTGGAATTTGAGATGTGAGAGGATTGGCGCAACGCGTGGACAAAGCTGGTTAGCATCCACATTTGATGAGGGTGAAAGAGAAGGGGCGGGATCCGTGGTTCGAGCCACGCTTGCTGGGAAAGAGAGTTTCATTCTCTCGAAGGCCGCGGTCAACTTGTTGCCGTCACAGGAGTGCATTTCAATATGACCCTGTCGAGGCTTGATGCTGCAAATGTCCCCAGATCCATCGCCACCAATGTCATCTTCCCTCTCTGAAGTCCGCGCTTTCGCTTTGGTTGAATTTTGTAGTGAAGTCGATTGTCCACCGAGAGTGACATCCTGAAGCTCGAAAATCAACCGCGGGTTTGTCCAACAAGACAGGAGGGAGGTGGAGGAAGGATCAGAAGGACAAAGACGGATTGTTTCTTCCCAGACCGTTAGCAAATCCCGTTCAGAAGAATAGCGCGTACCTCTCTTTGCTCGTGGCTTTTGCCAGAGGATAAACCCGTGGTTGAGATGGCAAATGCAACGGACATGGGAACAAGAGGTACGTAGTAGGGCGAGGTCCAATTCCACACATACCAATCCCGTGCCCAATTTTTTTCGCCAACATGATGCTGCCATGCCAGTCACGCCAAAGATCGGCTGGCGCGAACAGGAGCCAGCCCTTGCCGGTGTACAGAGAGCCATAGAATCTTTACCCGAAGGCGAAGCTGTGACGCCAAAGAGAAGCTGAGCCCTCATCGCAGAGACTTCAGCAATGGCCTCTCGCCCACAATCTCCACGGCGGGAGCGCAGCTTCTCATGGCGGGGAATTGTATCTTGTCGAGTGAAATGGCCAAAAGTTCGTTCTGTAGGTCTTCGACGTATTGCGGTCGACGATCTGGTCACGATTGACGGTCTGGTCATGATGAAGAACAGCATTGGAACTGGAGCTAGAACTAAGCTAAGCTAAGCTATGGACGATGGAGAATGATCTCCTCTATAGGATCCTGACCCTGAATTGAATGCCGTCTGAACTGAACTGAACTGACTTGAACTGTTGGTTTTCTCTTTCCGTTTGTTGTTTTGTGTGCTGTATGGTTGACATGGGGAATCGTGCTGTTGTGCTGTGCTGCTCTGGGGGAGCAGATTAGATCTTGATGTGCTGCTGTGATCGCCGTGCTGTGCTGTGCTCATGGGAATATCTCTTCTCCTATTAAAGCTCCTTGAAGTCCCTTCACGCTCATATCCCTGATCCATAACACCCATGCCATGCCTTGACCGCGCTATGTCTTGATGCCTTAATGCCCGTGATGCCGTGACGCCTCGCTTTCCCTACCATACCATGGTGTCAACACTGCACTGTCGAGAATGGAACAAGACACCTGAGAATACTCGGTCAATCATTCTCAGTGTCTCGAGCCGTGAAGCAATGACATGCGCCGCAGGTGGCTTGTCCGCGGAAGTGCTGTAACGGAGAAAAACCACAACTTTTTTTTTTGAGTCCCTCGTTGAGTTGTTGTGTAGATTTCCAAGTAACTTTGTGTTTTTTGAGTTTTCGATCGTGGTGAAAGAGAGGTGAGAGTGAATCTCAACTCATGGGAGAGTCGGCGATGGGATAGGATCGACGCGCACAATCCTGTGGTGCAAAGCGATTTGTGAACACTTGAAAAGGGAATAAAGTCACGATTTGTGAAGAAAGTGTAATGCCGCGCGAGTACTGACATGGTCGTTTTGGCGCTGCGGACTGGGCTAGACTGCGTGATAGCCTTAGGAGTTACCTAGAAAAGGTCGACGACTGTTGCGTGTTGCTGCAATTTGACTGGGATGACCGATAGTAGTGGATGTGAGGTGTAGTAGTTCAGCCTAATCAAACATGAAAAGGACGCGGTTCATCTCTTCTTGGAATTGAGCGCGCTCGGCTTCGCTGTCGAAGTTGAGGATGTCCAGATTGGCCTCGTTGATGGTGTCGTGGACTAGCTTAGCGTCGGCTTCGATGGCATCCCAATCCACGAGTGTGTTCATGAACTGGTCACTTGCGAGAGTGGAGAGATCGTGATCCATGCGGACGTCGCTGTAGCTGCTTCTGCAGAAGTTGATGCGC